AAATTCGAAAAAAAATTTATTCTGATTTTCGACAAATAAAAGTGGGGTGTTACAGCACCGCCTCGTGATGTCGGTTTATTATATCGTAGATATCGGTTCGCTAGGTCATAACCGACATGAGATGTCGGTTTCTTGAAAATGACGTCGGTACTTGGCTCACTCTTATCCATCTTGTAGTTACTTGAAATTTGCGAGTATATCGACCTCAGAGATAGCCTAATCTTTTAATCATTGAGCTCCTGGTGCCAATAATTATTAATTAATCGGTTTAGTGAAAACCATGTCAACAATGATTTCACGGCATTAGGGGGAGATATGAGCATAAGTTTATTAATTTCGTGAAAAGTGTGCAATATTAACGTTTTTCATTATTTGAAACCACAAAATATAAATTGAACTTGAAGCTCATATTATATTTCTGCCAAGAAACATCTATAGTAAAAATGGAGTGACCAATTTGTAAATATATAGATGTACCACAAAGTAAGCAAATTCCCTAGGGAATGATTGACTCCTTAATGCTTGAAGCATAAGGTGATATAAATAATATGACGTATGAAAGTCCGCGGAAAATGTATATTCAAGATTAACACTCCATTATAAGAAACTCCTAAAGAGTTGATCCAGTACATCTTGCACGTGCATCAAACCATTATAGTACTGAAAATGCGGAACGGCCAACATTAAATGTTACGGGAAATGATTATAAATATGGCTAGCAAATGGTTGAGAGAGAAATATAAATTGAATATAATAGTTGTCGACAACATACTTGCCTATGTGATTTCTTTACTATCTCAAATACTAATTCGGATCCAAATAATGAAAGTGCCAGAAGCACTTAGGTTGATTGAGATAGAAAGGAAAATTGAGGCAGAGCTTTCACTCGCTACAAGATATATCCCAGAAGGATAACAGGTCCCAGAAGGATAATGAATATTTATATGAAACATGTGATGTGGTGGTGTGATGTAAATATAGCGAGATTATGCTCATGGGTTTATGCAGAGACCCAAATATTTATTTAGATAAGTTCTCTCATTATCAATGATTCCGCAAGTTAATATTTATGGCAGTAATATTACCATGACTATTGAGTCATATGTGAAAGTCCGAATTAAGGACACCCTCTATCCATTTTAAAATACTTATTACCCTCTTGCGATAGACAATGAGTGTTTCCTCAATTACTCCTTTTTATTCCTATAATTAATAATTTTTTTAAAGCCCATATTTATCCTTTAAAATATTCAGTTTTGACGAAACAAAATAGCAGTTACTATTCTCTCTTATCTCCTGTACAAATATTTATCTTCATTCT